CCATTTTTTAAGCTTCCGTCGCATGTGCAACCTTAATGGTAAAATAAATCCCTATTTCCCTTGCTCACGCCATCACGCGTGAATGGCTGGATCGGTTTAACTATTTTTTTTTGTGTTTGCTATTGTCAGGAGAAGGTTCTTATGAAAGAAAAAAAGTAAAAAATTGCGCGGAATATTATAAAATTTAAGAATACTTATTTAAGACTACTTAACAGCCATATTAAAATTTATATGGCTAACGCTGGGTATTAACTATTTATATATATTTAACACGTACCTAGCGACGAACCCGAGCGAAGCGAGGGTGAGCCGCTAGTACATATAATAAAATTGTAACTAAGTCGAATCTGTACATTAAATATTTTTTGGAAAATCTAATTGAAATAGACATTATTATCGATACAGAGTCCGAATCTATAGTTTTTAGAATTTTTGTCTGTCTGTCTGTTACAGCATCACGAAAAACCACTCACTGGACAGATTTTGATGAAATTTGGTATAATAATAGCTGGTTATCCTGGTCAACATATAGGATACTTTTTACCGCGGGAAAATGTTTAATTTCTGAGAAAAAATGTAAAAACTGCATTGTAAAGTATACTAATATGTAAAACCTAAGAACTAGGTTTTTGGTTATCTGAACGCGGGCTGAGCCGCGGGTAATGCTAGTAGTACTATATATAGATAATGAGATACCTGTGATACCTGGTGTTAAAAAGAGCTTATTTATTCTTCCCTCTTTAAAATTCCTATTTAGTTTTTCCAAACCAGTCGATTGATCTCTTACGTTGTTTTTTATTATAACTTAAGCTAAAGTTACTAATTCATGTATTGATTTTTATAATCATTTTTTGAACATCGGGGGTTTATAGTAACAACACAACTACGTCAGTAAGTCTATAAATAGTCTATAAATATTTTAGTATACGAGTATAAACTGTAGATACAATAAACTGAATTTTGACGACACGTTTGGCTCAGTGTGTAGTGACCCTACTTGCTGTGCCAGCGGTCGCGGGTTCGAGTCCCGCTGGGGGCATTCATTGTGTGATCAGCACGAATGTTTGTACTCCAGTCATCGGTGTTCATATTTATAATATGTATGTATTTAAAGTTTATATATGTGTAGTGTATCAACTATCTGATATCAATAACACAAGCCTCGTAGCTTTCCATGGAACTAGATGGTGCTGTGTATTAATGTCCCAACAACATATAACATACATATAATAATGACCAAAAAAGTCCGTAACGTACCACTGAAATAAATAATTACATAAGGCGAAGAAAACCCAAGTTGAGAGCTTATCTTAAAAGCAATAATGTCCATTAAGGTTTTTCCGAAAGCTCTTTACTTTATACCAAGGGAATTGAGTTCGAAATTTAGTAGGACTTATACTTTTTACTTGATCATTCTAAAGGTACCGTGACGCAGTCCTGTGAAAAACATGTACCTATAGTAATAATGGACAGATCAAAGAGCTTTTTACGAATCAATTTATGTGAGAGATTTTCGATTTTATTAGTATTTACCTACATACATATTACGTTTACTATGCAGTAAGAACATTCAGCAATTTTTAACCAACTGCTGGGCACGGGCCTCCCTTTTATACGAGGAGGATCAGGCTTTAGTACACCACACTGGCCAGGTTCGAGTTTTATTTATTTATTTTATTTATTTATTGAGTTATATACATAGAGTTGGCGGACTTCACAAGTCTTTTGAAAACTTGCTAGGTTCTTTCAAATCTTAGAAATGGTTCGGACGTCAAAATATCGGTGCAAGACCCGGGACGTGAACCCACTTCGCTTGGTTTCACATGCACATTACCACTGGACTACCACTGTCATTACGTAAATATGTACATATAATATAAAATGTTTAACCTATTTAGAATAGAATTTAAAAGCCAAAAAAAATTGTAATATTGTGTGTCAGCTAAACAAAAGAAAATTATACTGTATGTATATGTACTGAATTATATTCCATTTTTTATGTTAAAATTTACATAATAAGTTTGTTTCAGATATAATTTTTAGTTACTTATATACGGTACGGTACGGTATACCTACTAATAAAATCATTTTTTTTTTAATTAGTAAGCTGTCGGAAAAGTTTTGCTGGTATCCAATAAAAAACGAATCAATCAATAAAAAAACTTTTATGATCCCGAGCGCTTCATCATTTTAAATTTTTTGTATAAAAATGATTCCATTTTCATCAACCAATATTATAGTCAGTGGTGATATGCTCGCTTGGTAAACCGAGTGAAGCGGGTTCAAATCTCGGGTCTCGCATCTCTAATATTATCATGCACAAATCATTTCTAACATTACATAACATTTTACGGTGAAGGAAAATATTGTGAGGAAATCTGCATATTTGGGAGAACCTAGCACATTTAAACCAAACTGAGAAGTAATTAGTAAAATAAATTGTAATAACGAATATAATATAGTATAATTACAATAAATATTTTTTATGCCGTAGTATAAGCATTATAATATTTCAACAATAAAATAAAACGCACTGATATGACTTTGTATATTTCGTAACAGATACCTGATGCTGTTCAACTGTGAGAAGAGAAAAGAGAGAGAAAGAGGAGAGTAAACAAACTGCCCGTTAATAAATAGAGAGAGTATTTACATTCAACAGAGGGACTCTCTAATTTTTCACTCTCATCGTATAAGACCGACCATATAGCTGAAGTGTCTGATAAGGCATAAGGTGGCAATTTCCCAATACTTGCTAGCTATTGAATATATTTTATGGAGAAAAATATAAAAACGTTTTGACTATGTATTGTATGGTATTGAACTAAGAACTTTATGATCTGCAGTCACTAGATAAACAAGACACAATATACAAGGGATGTCTCGGTGGTGTAGTGGCTAGCATGTACGGCTTCACACCCGGAGGTCCTGGGTTCGAGTCCCGGGTCGAGCCAAGTTTAGTTATTGAGTCTTTCTGTAAAAGTAAGCCTCAGTAACAGCCCGGAGTTGGAAAGTTGGCGCTGTTTCACCCCCGCGCCTCGGAGAGCACGTAAAGCCGTCGGTCCTGCGCCTTAACTTTCACTGGTCGTGTCGAGCAGTCGTCCCACCGGAGTATGAGAGTGACAGGAAAAGACAGTGCACGTTGTGTCTGCGCGTACACTTGTGCACTATAATATCTCCTGCGCAATTGGCTAGTCTCAATGAGATTGGCCGCCGTGGCCGGAATCAGTCGGAAGAACATCATCATCATAAGGGAATCAGACCCGCAATTGTTGGCATAAGACTTAACAGTTATGTGTCTTCTCCATTAGAGCAATTACCAAGAAAATTGAATGAAATTGAATGGAACTGACAATATGTCTCGGTTAATTTCAAAAAGCAATAAAAAAGCATTTGTCAATATTTAAAGGAATCTCTTTTTTAAATTTCAATTTAAATTAATTAATAATTTAGTTATCTGTTATTATATAAAATGTAAACATTCCCGTTCTAATTTCAATTTTTTCTTAGTACACATATCAAACCTACAAACTTCAATGTTGCAATTATTACTTAAGCTTAATAAAGAAATAAAACAAATATTTGTAATCTGTGTATTTAATCCTTGACGACATACCATCCTTAACTAATGTGCATAAATAGGAAAACGTTATTTACAAATATAACTTAATGTCCACGACAGCCTGCTGCCGCCATACTCCCGACCGGAAATGTAAAAATGAATAAGTTTGTACTTATTCTACCCACCTTATATACAATAGTTATATCAAAATATAAATGTTATTTAAACAAAATAATTTTCAAATAGATCACTTTTCATTCTTGTTAAAACAACTTCGTGTTATTCATCATTGTAGTGAAATCATTTAATATATGTAAATGTAAATAAAGAAAAGGTTGTAAAAAATAAAATTTTCAGTATCGGACACAAAAAGCTTATAAAAATCGTCCTTAACAAGTTCATGGAAGCTTTTTTAAAACTTAAAGCAAATCCAAATAAGGCATTAATTTAGAAAATTTATTTTCCATATACCGATATATTAATATAATAATTAAAGTACATAATTATTATAAGATTATTTCTAAATCCAAAAATATAACATAAAGGAACATAAAATGTGAGATAATTAGCAGAACCTTAAACACTAAATATCCTACTGAATATTAATTATCAACAATTCGAAATCACTTTAAATGTTTTTATTTACAAGATTGTGTGCGAGGTATTTAGAAATGTATTTGTTAGGAAACCAAAGAACTATAAAATGAAGCCCACTATATATATATATATATATATATATATATATATATATATATATATATATATATATATATATATATATATATATATATATATATATATATCGTAAGGTTGTTGGAAACAACGCATTTGGTAAAAAAATAAAGCTTGAAAATAAACTAATAATCATTATTTTTCATAATCCTAACAGAAACATTTCAAATATACGCACAAATTAAACCTACGTGAATTGTGCAAAGCGCATAAATTGAGGTAAAGTTATTAACTTAGCGTGTAATGGTGACTAATAATTGACTACATCATAGAGAAACGATTTCGTATACCCAAAGCTTAGATCATTGTCATGGAAACCAATTGAAAATTATAACAATTAAGCAGATTCATGTATCTGAATAGATTCACTTTTATCGAATTCAAAATCAAAGAAAAGAATCAAAATCGTAATAACATTGATATAGAAATCAAATTTTATCATCAAAAATAAATAAAAGTTTCATAGATTTAATTTTTAAAACAGATACCAATTTTTTGTAGTATGAAAATTTAATTTATTAAAATTATTAGAACATCGATTTCGAATAAATGAACATCGATATCTAATCCATCGATGTGTTTGGACACTCATTCAGATACGACTCTGTTTAAGGCTATTCATTGAACAATAAAACCGAGCCAGGTTAAACAAGTGGTAATTTATTGACACTTAAACCAACGTTACGGGCTATAAACCCAACTGTTATATGACGACGCCACTTCTTGTGATTATTTTCGTTTGGTCTTTAGGTTTTTCATTATCGATATTAATTTTGGAGGTTTGAATTTTCTTCCATGTTTCGCCCAAAGCTTTGCTAAAATGGTCGTCAACTTTAGTTGTTTTGTCGTCTTTTAATCTGGACGTTTGTATTTGCCGCCAAGTGTCTCCCAGTGCTTTTGCGAAGTGGTCATCTACTGAAAGGCTTGCATCGTCGACGTCCATCGCAATGATTTTAGTCGGTTTCGGTTCTAAAATGTCTGTTTTAAATTGTATGGGACTACTCGCCCGGTCTTTTGTGTTTGGTTTCGGACCTGGTTGAGAGGTTTCTGTGACTGCGTTCTTTTTAAACAAATTCATGTAATCATCCCCGAGGGAACGTCGGAAATGTTCGTCTATGACCGGGTCGCACATCGACATTGATCCTGTTGAAGAAATATTTATTAGAATTATAAATTACTAACAACTCACCCTCGCTTCGCTTCAGGTTCGTCCCAAATGATAAGCAAAAACAAATCTATCCCACGGAAACCGTCCGTTCTTCCGTAACCTACTGTTATTCCAGACTATAATCTACCTCTGTGCCAAATTTTATCCAGATCCGTTCAGCCGTTCTGGCGTGAAAGAATAACAAACATCCATCCATCCATCCTCACACAATTTCACATTTATAAACTAATGGATATTAAGTTTACGTCAATTAAATGGTAAAATTCATTTACTAATACTAGTCTTGTCTATGATCAAATATCTAGCAATAGTGACGTTGATCTTTGATTAATTAGTTAAAACGTTTCATACGGTGTTTTTATCTGCCTTTACGTACAGTACATATATGTCAAAATTTATTAATGAAAAATCATATATCAATAAAAATAAATATTAGATTGAGTACGAGATTTAATATTTCTTTTCTTATGACCTAGAAAAGTTGGAATTGTAGAGCGTTCTATATAGATCGACTGTGAATTGATTAACCTACTTGTCAAGCAAACAAAGGAATAAAACTTACGCTCATGAAATACTGTGAAATTTCAGTTTCCTGTATATAATTAACCGACTTAAAAATAGAGGTTATTATTTGGCGATTTATTATTGTTTAAAAATACCTATGATTTTCAAGATTTCAGTTGAGCTTGAACAGATGATTATTTCGCAGATGCCAATTTTACTTATTTTTTATTCAATAGTTTTCTAAACTACTAAATCGATTTTAATAAAACTTACACTGCTGGTAAAGGATTCATAGGTATAAAACAGCACGTAGGTTTACCAGGTAAGAAAAGAGGGTATCATGGGAAATTTGGCTAATAGAAGAACGACTAGATCGATTTTAAGGGTCATTTTACTACGATGAAAATTTAGTTTAAATATACTAAATTTTATTCTGGGATACAGAATAGGATAACGATTTTTATCAGATTTAATGCACGGCATGGATCAAAGCTATGGTAGACGGGATTTAGTTTTATTTTTTTATTACATATTTGCGATTATTGAAAAAAAATTTAAAAAAATAAATAAATTCAATAATTTATAAATAGTATATTCTTACCAGGTGGGGAATCATTGCTTTTTATGACTGAAGGGCGATTGTAAGGAGGGGGGGCTTTCGACCGCAATCGCATGTCAATGGGAGCTTCGTTCTTTACGCCGGGGTACTCGGGAGGAGCTGCGGACAAAATGTAATACATATAGTGTTTTTGGCATATATAAAATATAACATGAAATGTACTAAAATAGAAATAAAAACATGCAAGTTTTATACACCGAATATCAGTCACGGAAACGAATCTTAATTAAACTATTTATCTGCATGGGAGATATTTAATTAGTGTAATAATGCTTGTGCGCAGATACTGTTCGTTTTATTCTCATAGGCGGGTGGAAGACCACACGATTGGTGAAAGGTCAGTATGATGAGTATTCAGGCTAAGTAATGTAGTAAAAAAATAAATATTTTCTCAAAGAGCTTAGGCGGCGTTTTCGTTGAAAGCTCCCAGATGGCGTATTTTTTTCCGACACCTCCAACAAATTTCGTTATATTTTAGCTAATGTATACAAAAACTTAACAAATTATATACATTTAGAAAGCAGCATGAGAATCGGTGCAGTAATTTTTCAGTTTATCGCGAAGACAGAAGGACTTTGTTTTATAATATGTAGTAATTATTCATGTTTTCTTCTCAAAAATTTAAAATTTACTGCTAATACTTATATAAAATTTCGTTTATTCTTTTCTTTCTTTAATGGCTTAGAGTTACGTTAGCAGACGCAATACTCTACTACTACATTCTGCCAGTGTCACGTTTTGTGAGGAAGACACGAATGAGTTTAAGCGGTAATTTTAAAATTTAGCAGCTTTAACGTGGAATTAAAACTATAAATGATCAGTCTACAGGAGTAACTTACAACAACAGAAAGATAATTACGCAATACAAAAATGGCACAATGATTGAAAATGAAAATACATAAATAATGAGAACGATATTATAATTTAATTTTATTATCTACTATGTATTTAATTTTTTTTTAATAAATGGGCTAAGCACAAGGGCTAATAAACATTTGGTGTTGACTGGGCGGTGAATTTGAGGAAGGATTATGTCATGGTATGGTCATCATTATTAAAGAAAATTTTTTTTTGACTTTGACATTTTTTTGGTGGGCTCTGTCTTTAAAATTCGTTAGTCTGAGGATGAGTTCATCAAAATTTCGCAAATGGCTTATTAGTGTGTTTACCACTAGTAAAATAAAGGCAGATTTTATTATACTTTACTTAATTCGGCTGTGTTTTTTGCGTATTATATATTTTTAAAGTATTTTTAAATCGGTATACCTTTTTTAGTAAAACGTAACTCATATGTAAGGTACATAAGCGCAATATGAATAGGTATATAAAAAATGTCGGAGGCGTAAAACGTAACATGCGATAAATTGTGTCGAGTAGACAGACTTAAATTAGCATTATATATGTACATCTAAACTGAAAGTACCGTATAATTTGTTCAAATGTACGATATTTAATTATCCCATATTCGCAGAGTTGGTAGTTGGTACACGTTCGAGTAAAGCAATTAAAACTAACTTATTAGGTTGAATTAATCTGCTGTTCGTCGCACTCGAGCTCGTAATTTTGCTAATTAGTCTTTTAGTCAAAAATATATATTTGGAAGTTGTTAAATTTTTATTAAATGTTTATAAGATAATACAAATTTTGGGCTTTGAATTATTTAATTATAGTCACAATTTATGTTAATTTATGTAATAAGGAATATATAATAAAAGATAGTAAGAACACGAGGTAAAGAACAACTTATTTATTATTGGACGACTAGAAGTCTAGAACAATGATATCTTGGATAGAGCTTTCATATCTTGGCCAGACTAAAATAAGCAAGCCTTTACATACGAGGATATCGATAATCGAATACTAAGGGAATAATAAAATATTTTAGAAATAGTATTATAGTCAAAAAAGTATACATATATTTATGTACAGTGTAAGTTTATTTTTAGGTCAAATTACCTAAAAAACACAATCTTATAAATATCTAAAGCAAAAAAATAATAATACTAGGTATATCTAATAAGGCTTGACCGATTCTTATGAAATTTTGTGTGTATATTCAGTAAAGTCTATTTTTAATACCCCTAAGTGAAAAGGGTGGTCCACTTAAAAAAAAAAATTTTTTTGGTCAATTTTTTTTATTTTAATTATTTTATGATTCTGCATTAAAAATACATACAAACCTAAATTTTCACTAGAGGCAAACCCGAGCGGAGTAAGGGTGAGTCGCTAGTAATAATATACAAAAAACAGTATGTAGCTATCATAATAAATTATAATTACCTTTGCCGTTAATAGCCAAGTTTGCGGGACCGTCGTCCACTTCATCGGACAGTTCCCCGTCGCTGTGGGGCTGCGCGCGCGTCACTGAAGCCACGCTACGCCGCTCGTTGAAAGACTGCGACCGTAACGCCATTTTACCATTCTCTCTGAAAATAAAAATAAAACAAATAAGTTATGGCGATATAGATATTTTTTTTTATATAGAGATACGTAAGTATGTATTTGATTTGAGAGCTTTGATAATGTCATTTTATAACTATACATTACGATTTATGTACTTATTTTCATTATTTATCAAAGACATTATAGATTACCGAGTTATTAAAACTATATCGATTTAATGTAAAATTAAAGACCTATGAACAAAATTGCTGAACAAAACATAGAAAAAAAATATGGATAGTTATAATTTTTGTTAAATGACATTGTGCAATATGCATTTGACTAACAGTCGTATGCGATACTATAAATTAATAATAATAAAAATAAACTAATCTCAACGTTACTCTGTACATGCATAAAAATATATTGTAATTAATTTATTTTATCAGTTATCTTTACATTCACGAGACTTACTTCGGTCTATATTCCGGCAAGCGCGTAGACCGTCGCTCTCGTCTCCATTTCCCGCCAGTAAGGTCCTTGGACTGCGCCCGCGGCGCTTCAGGCGACAAAGTGCGGTCTCCCTCAGACTCACCGCTCGACGCTGTACTCGGAGTTTCTGTAAAAATATCATTTATCTTAGTATCACGTGCGTAATATTTTTAATTTATTTCTCATAAGAAACATTTTTAAATCCGATGTAAATATGTAGTTCACAGCCAATAAGAAGGTTTACCAAGTTACTGGCTTATATAGCTAATAATTGAGCTGGGCTCATAAAATACAAACTCTTCTCATAACGCAACAAAATTTTAAAAGATCATTATCACTTATTATTCATTCTAGTGTAAGTTTAAGTTTTTTGTTTACAATAGATTTCTTAGAAACTTAATTAATTTCTTAAAAATTTATCTGGAGGTGTTAAAAGTGTGCAATATGCATATTTCTGCGACATCAATATTTATATTAAAAAAACTGCTTATTTAATAAAAACTTAAATATCCTAAGAAAGTACTCGAATCAGAAATTAAAAATCCATTTCCAGAGTGAAAATGTGTACCTTTATGTGGAGAAGCAATCCACGGTTGCCATAAAGGCATGTTAAACTTAGGTGATTGCGGTGGTTCCATTGATATTAAATCAAGGGTACTTAACGAAGTCCGAGCCAAAAGAAACAAATAATGCGGAAGTTCCATCATAACAACACCATTAACAACTTCAAAAAAACACTCAAAATCATGACATATTTAAAGAAACTAACAATTACTTAAATCACAATGTACACTGATTAGAATCCAATATATTTTCCGAGGTAGCCCTAAATTGTTAGCAAATTTGTAACATATAGACAACACATTGGCGTCCCTGCACAGGTAACACTGAAGGTCGACTGAATAAAAAACGAGCTGGAAGAGATTACATTGGAATAAATAAATGAGATGAACAAAAAATAAACCGAAAAGGAAAAAGAGCATCATGCTACATCCACGCGGCCGGACGTTGCGGCGCTTCCTTCGAACTTTGCGATACAGGCTGTATACAATATGTGAACACTGATTACATGCTTCACAGTAAGAAATGTCATATTATAATATTAAGATATAACGGTACAACGTACGTACATCAATGCCCATTGTTACATTTACGTGGAAAAATATTGTTAATTGCCACCAAAGGCACGATCTTGATATGACCTCATCTCGATTGCATAAAGAAAACGACGACATAACACATTTTTATGTTAGATGACCTTTTGGCAGTGCCTTTCATAAAATTTCTTTGATTTAACAATACATATCTTATACAACTTTGTAGATTCGATTTATTAAACTTTGCTCTGTATAAAACTGTGCAAAAATTCCTTTAGAGTATCATTTAAGAGAGAAGTTTCTTAAAATTGCACCCATAAAAGGCTAAAAAGTAAAAACCATTTGCATGTTTTATCGAAAATAATATTTTTAAATGGAGAAAAGAATAAGTTGCTGCGAATTATGAAATAAAAAGATGAAAATAATTGATTTTTATTATGTTAGTACTTAATTATTTTTCGGGAGTCTCGGAAAGGATAATAATTTGTTAGACAAGTTAATGCTAAAGTTAGATATCGGTAAAATTTATCAAATTTATTAAGAGTTACATCGTATTTCTAAAATTTATTTATTTAGTTTTCATTGATATTTTTAATTTTATCAGCCTGTGCATGAATGCATCAACCTGTTCGGTCCATTCATGAAAGTGCGTGAGCGCAGGGCGCGGGGATTAATGAACCCTCTTCACTCTTTTCCCTTTCGTCGCCTGCAGAGCCTTCTTATTGTGTACATTTTATTATCGACTTTATTTACTGAGCTCAAAGATATACTTTACTTTAAAATAAGATAAGAAGTGTGGATCTATAACAACAATTTAAATTGAATCATATTTCCTACGAAGTAAAGTATCAATTACTTTGCGAAATTTACTGTTAATGATACGAGTTGAGTTACGGTGGTTGTATCCTTGAAAGGTTGTGTTTTATTTTGATGCGCGCGGGGGGAGGGCAGTAAGAGATGGGTGAAGTCGAACTGTGAGAAGTTGCCGCGTTGTACCACCGTATAGGCATTAGCTTTTTATTGTCTAATAGAGCGTAGGTAAAAGGCTGCCGACAGGTAGACCAGGGATGGCGCCGCCAGATTAATTAAAGTCTGGGCTCAATATATACAATAACACATGTCTTATTATAAATTGTACTTGTAATTACTTCAAGTATTATTTTCAAATTGAACATAATAGTAATAGCAAAAAACAATTTAGTTTCTATAAATTACGATTTTACGATTTTTTAAAGGCGCTGCGCTTTAATACTGTTCGACAACGTCAAAACAAAATTTATGGTGAATTCAAAATTTCTTTTAAAATATATCCGAAATTAACATTAAAATTTAAGTAATAGTATAAAAATGTTTTAAAAGACAACAAAATTGAAAGTGAAGTGCAAGGCTTCGGCGACATCATTCAGACAAAGAAAGACAATAGCATTCCCAAGGAGGGTTGACGTCAGGCAGGCGGCCGGTCGTAAAACTTTTGCCAAATCCTTTCAGCAGTACAGAAGATGTACTGCGCTGACTCCAAGTGATTGGGAAATGGGCACGGAGAAGAAGAAGAAGAAGTTTTAATACTGTTATAAGATAATGATTTATATAAACTTAAATAGATACATTTAAAATATTATCTGAGTGCTGTAATATAGAAAATTCTTGTCAATTATTCAAGTTCCAGACACGACGCCTAAGGGAAATACATTTTAAATTGCCCGTGGAGTGTAATTAACAGACGGCACTTTATTTCTACGTTTCTTTTTATTTGTTCCGTCGCCATTCAAGCGGAGCGCCAGGCTTGGGCCGGCTACCTGAGTGTCATAATCGACATGTACTGTCAAATAAAATTATAAATTAGATGGACCAATTGTTATAAATACTCGTATATGTCGAATCCTTTAATGTATGATATACTCGATAAAACAGAATTATTATAATCAACAATTTACAACATAACAAGATTATTAAAAATAAAAATAAATGGTATATTTATTATATTATCTAAATATTTAGAAATATATCAGAGTTCGAGATGGGAAAAGGTATTTAGGAATAAAAATGCCACTTAATAAATCAATAGGTATATGTAGGTACATATTTTGTGTCAAGTAATATTGTTTTATTGATTTTTGATAGGTATTGAATTGTGGTTTAAATTTCTGGCGCGTATCTAACTCACATTTTTTTTTCATTTTTCTTTTATTTTAGGTCTTTTACTATAATTACTCCAAGTTTCACGCTTATTATCTACCGTTTTTAGATAGAGCAAAAGCCACAAACACAGAAAACCACATGTAGACATCTTTCATCATTTATGTCATAGGAATATATGTATATATATATTACGTATATATATATATATAATATATAATAAAACCTTTCGACTTGTAATGGTACAAAAATGAGGTACAGGCATTATAGGCTTTTAGTATATGGATTGCTGCCAGGCATTTGCAGTATGCAACTCTCAAACTTTATGATAGATTATAAAAATGTGAAATAGACAAAACAGTAAAATAATACAATCGTTTTTGTAATGTTGCGCGTGAATGATCTAATGTCTGAAGGTTGCGAACAGTTTCCGTCGATTGCCTTATTTTATATCGAAATACGACAAAGGAAAAATTTGCAACTATTATCTATACATATAATAAAACTGTAGAGGTCTGTACATAGAAAAAAAATGCTTAAAAACGAGTCAGGGGGATATAAGAAAAGAAATAGAACAAATCCAGTTTTTTTTTCCATTTTTTTGTTTCTCTGTCTGTTTGTCTGTTTGTACGGGCTAATCTCCGAGTCTATTGGACCGATTTAAATAAAATTTTGCATGGTGGTACCTTATATCCCCGGGCAACATCTTAGATACTTTTTATCCCGGAAAATTAAATAGTTCCCGTGGGATAGTTAAAAAACTATAATAGCTTATAAAACTTATGTACCTAATTTAGTAAAATTTAACATTGTGATACCTTACATTGCCGGTCAAACAACAGGTTACTTTTTATCCGGGAAAAATGAACCGTTCCCGTGGGAACTAATAGATCTCTATTAGTGTTTTTCTAGAGGCGAACCCGAGCGAAGCGAGGGTAAGCCGCTAGTAATATTAATAAGATTAATGGGATAGATAGCTAATATTATAATAATAAAAAGAAACTATTGGGGAAGAAAAGTGTGACAATGTGAAAACAAGAGGAAAGTATATTTTTTTGTCCTAAATATTTTTTTATAATTTAAAAATATTCTTTATGATGAAGCAATGTATCAGATATGATAAGTATTTCAAATTTTTAAACTTATTTATCATTAAATTTCTAAATGAATCCAATTGGAATACAAACAGAAGATGATAAATGCTTTATAAATTATAATTTACTTCGCCCAAGGCATTGACAAGAATGGGACTGAAAGGATGCGAGTAATTCGGTGGCGAGCATGCACATCCGATGTGCCGTAGCTACTATGCGTGTCTTAAATTAGAAAAGTACCTTTATAATATGAAAATATACTTAATAAATATACGATTAAATATTACGACACGTTTGGTTTAATTTGTATTGTTCACATCTTTGGCTTAGTTTGTACACGAATGTTTGTTCTCCAGTCATAGGTGATTATAGTCATAAAACATAATATGTATGTATTTAATAAGTTTATAAGTTGGAAGGCTGGAGAGTGACGCAGGCTACTTACCCCAGGAGTTTACCTAATTCCCACGGGAAAACACTTTAAAATACAATCCAAAAAAATATTTTTAATCAGAATTACTTGAAACTTAGTATTAATGATCTTCAATAAAATTAAATAAATAGGTGTTTTTTGCATTTTTCGAAATTCATCCTATAAGGGGGTAAAATAGATGATGAAAGTTTGTATGAAACCTTTATAGAGATTTTTTGTTCTGCAGCGGGTTCTGCTAGTACTTATAGCTTATAGTATAAATATTAAAGTGCTTAAGAACTACAGAAAGACACTTCTGCTTGTTTACTTATGCATACATACAAGTATTAAGCATATCTCCCACTTGCACTTGTTGCAATGAACTATT